CACTAAGCAGCTCAGTGAGATGCTGTCTCTAATTAAAATACAAAATGGAGCTAGGGATGTGGCTCAGTGGTCGAATGCCCCTAAATTCAATCCTCAGTATGAAAAAAAAAAAAAARARAAARAAAGACAAACAGATTAGATGATCCTCCAGCACAAAAAGATTTTAATTCTATTTCTCAGCAAACACATCAATGCCACTCTTTTTCTCCTCAGCCCCTCTAACTACCTGTAATCCCTCAGATTCCCTCTGGGAAAAGAGTCTTGGTAGCCTCTAGGTGAGCACAGCTTTGATGCCCTCTGTCCTTGCTCTCTAAACCCCTAGGAGAGGAACCTGACCCAGGACTGTCATTGTCTCCTTTTCCTACAGGGTGGAGAACATGTCCATGCGGCTGGAGGAGGTCAATGAGAGAGAGCACTCCATGAAGGCTTCACTCCAGACCGTGGACATCCGGCTGGCGCAGCTTGAGGACCTCATCGGGCGCATGGCCACAGCCCTGGAGCGCCTGACGGGTCTGGAGCGAGCTGAGTCCAACAAGATCCGCTCGAGGACCTCCTCGGACTGCACGGACGCAGCCTACATCGTCCGCCAGAGCAGCTTCAACAGCCAGGAGGGAAACACCTTCAAGCTCCAAGAGAGTATAGACCCTGCAGGTGAGGAGACCATGTCCCCAACCTCTCCAACCTTAATGCCCCGTATGCGAAGCCATTCTTTCTATTCAGTCAATATGAAAGACAAAGGTGGTATAGAAAAGTTGGAAAGTATTTTTAAAGAAAGGTCCCTGAGCCTACACCGAGCTACTAGTTCCCACTCAGTAGCCAAAGAATCCAAAGCTCCTGCAGCCCCTGCAAACACCTTGGCCATTGTTCCTGATTCTAGAAGACCATCGTCATGCATAGACATCTATGTCTCTGCCATGGATGAGCTTCACTGTGACATAGACCCTCTGGACAATTCCATGAACATCCTTGGGTTGGGAGAACCAAGCTTTTCGGTTCCAGCACCTTCCACAGCCCCTTCAAGCAGTGCCTATGTAACCCTTGCACCCACAGACAGACCTCCAAGCCGGAGCATCGATTTCGAAGACATCACCTCCATGGACACTAGGTCTTTTTCTTCAGACTATACCCACATTCCAGAATGCCAAAACCCCTGGGACTCGGACCCTCCGATGTATCACACCATTGAGCGTTCCAAGAGTAGCCGCTATCTAGCCGCCACACCTTTTCTTCTAGAAGAGGCCCCCATAGTGAAATCTCATAGCTTTATGTTTTCTCCTTCGAGGAGTTATTACGCCAACTTTGGGGTGCCTGTGAAAACAGCAGAATATACAAGTATTACGGACTGTATCGACACGAGGTGTGTCAATACCCCTCAAGCGATTGCGGACAGAGCCACCTTCCCCGGAGGTCTTGGCGATAAAGTAGAGGACTTATCTTGCTGTCATCCTGAGCGAGAAGCAGAACTGAGCCACCCTAGCTCTGACAATGAGGAGAACGAGGCCAGAGGCCGGAGAGCAGCCATCGCGATGTCCTCCCAGGAGGGTGACAACTCAGACAGAAACCTATCCAACAACATCACGGTTCCCAAGATAGAGCGTGCCAACAGCTACTCAGCAGAGGAGCCAAGCGCGCCATATGCACACACCAGAAAGAGCTTCTCTATCAGTGACAAGCTCGACAGGCAGCGGAACACGGCAAGCCTGCGAAATCCCTTCCAGAGGAGTAAGTCCTCCAAGCCGGAAGGCCGAGGGGACARCCTGTCCATGAGGAGACTGTCCAGAACGTCGGCTTTCCACAGCTTTGAAAGCAAGCACAACTAACTCTTCTTACCATGCCTTGCAGGAGGCTCGAGAACCCAGCCCTAAATTCTCCCCAAACTCCACCTTTTTCCCCCTTCCTTGAATCACACCCGCTTTATTCTTAGCTGAGCAAAACAAGCAATGTGTTGGGAGATGTTAACTCAAAGGTGACTTCTGGGCCACAGATCAAGAAAACATTTGATCTGACCCAGTGCCAAACACAGGGTAGTTGAAGCATGTTCACACTTGCTGGGTAGGGAGGGGATGGGGGGAGAAGGGTTAGAGATGAATGTGTATCACCAGTCTCTGCAGAAAGCCATGAGCTCTGGGGAACCAAGGGGCTTCAAGCACTCTCAACGCCAGGAGGCATCTTGTGATTTCTACCCAKTATCAAGAGCTTTAGGATGCAGGGCTAAGTTGCAAAATAAAATAAAATAGCCAGCATACAAAATGAGATATTCTAAACTTCAATTCTGTTTTCTTTTCACATTGGCTCCATCACTGGTGACTGATGAAGAGCATCCTTTTTATTCAGTATAAGCCGGCAGCAAGCAGTTCTACCTAACGTCCCACATCCTTCTCATGCCAACACTTCTGTAATTGGTCATTATAAAGAAAAAAACAAGGTAACAGTCATAGTTCACCTGTCTCTTATATATTCACTTCTGGTGCCACAACTGTTTTATCTTTTTTGAAGAAAATAAGGGAACAGAAATGCCTTTTGGTCTTGCAATGGAAATGATAGAAGAGTTGATGTTAGAAGCAACAGTCACGTGGTGTATATCATATATGGTGGGCATTCCAGTAGAGTCAAGCAAGCTCAGGATGAATGTAATTAAATAACTTTATATTTCTTAATTTATTTTGTATCTCTCCTGTCATCAGTGAATTCACTCATTGAATGTGTAATGTTGAACTTTAAAAAAAAACAGTGAGCAGAACTAACCTAAAATTGCCATATGGAATATTATTGTATTCTCTCCATTCATGTCATGTGTTGTGCTGCTGTGTGACCTTCTTCATTTGCATGACTCCACCTACTGCGTCCTTTGATCACCTCAAGGTGTAACTGCCAATTTTTCACACCACTCATCGTATGGCCATTTTGTATACAAAAACATGGTTATATGTGGCTATTTTCATACCTAGAGTTTTGCCATCTAATCTGAGCTCAGCATAAATTTAATTGGAATTTTTCAAGGGCTGGTATCTTTTTTATGGAAATGTTCCAAAGTACTTTTTAAGTAAGTTTCAAAACCATAAATAACTTTAGAATTGACTAGGAGTTTGGTATCAATCCAAAGCCATCAGTTGCAGGCATGCCATGAATATTTTTCTTATATACAGAGCTATAAAAAAAAAGATATAGKAGGCCAAAATAGAAAGCAAATAAACCATATAAAGAGTTCTCTAGTATATGCTGCTTATATACATATATATGCATTTACATAGCAACACATGTTTATATATAGTATATAAACAGACATACAGAGCTTTCTTAAGAGGCTTGGACTTTTCTATCTCCTGGAGGTATAACCAAGATTTTTTTAATATCCAAGAAGTTCCATTGAAAGAGTTCATTTTACCATTAGACCAAATGTTGAAACTATGACTTTTTAAATCTCTGATCACCTTAACTTTTCCATGTACCAAATAACAGTTGTCAAAATGACTCACCCTGCCTTCTGCCCCTTTTTGTCCAAAAACACTCACTCTCATGATATTGCCTTTATTCTGGTTTCTCCCACACAAAGCTATTACACCAAGTACAATCTGAATAGATGTGCAATTCTAAACCAGCTAGTGTGATGAACTCTAGAATAGAAGCATAAGCATAAGCTTCTGTTCTAAAGTCACAGTCATGGTTTGAAGTGACATAAAGAAATCTTGACCCCAAATCTTCAGATTCCTATTTGGATCATTGAAATTTTAAAAAGAATGAAASCTTTAAGAAAAATAACTTCATGTTCCTGGCCCAAGATCCTACCTGGTTATTTTTTTTCAATTGTAGTTGTAAACATTAGGTTATATCCCATTTTGAGAAATCAAGTAAGCTTATTGACAAAAACCTCTAGCCTTTAAATATTAAAAAAGAAAAAAACTGAACAAGCTTTTTGGTACAAAGTAACAAGGTCACATGTGTAAAGAATTCCTTCTGCATTCCTTGTACTCATTAGTAGGTAGGGCACTCAGTAACAAATACCCAAGCCCTTCATTTATAATTGTTCTGGAGACAGTTTCGCTTTACTGGGCCCTATGTTGGAGTTTTCCCTCTCAGTAGGCATGCTTTCAGTCTGAGAATAAATCAGCCGTCTTTCAACTTCCTAGAGTGATGAGTCCCTTGGAGGATCTGATGAACACACTGTCTTCTCCCCCAACTCCCTAAAAATGTACATACATGTGAAGTTGCAATATAACTTTAAAAAGTCCATAACCTCCTGGTCTATACTGATTGATAATGAGAAAAAGGAATGACATTTGCTCATAATCAGTATAGTTGCAATAGGCACTTTACATCTTAAGACCATTTCCCTGTGATTCTCAGGAAGGCCAAGTCTCAGCACCAGATTTGAACCACCGTTTCATGATTTTCATTGCTTAGATTAGATGTGACTAGTTGGATACCCTTACGTGCTAATGTTTTGATGGTTTTAAGCCGTGAGCACACTCACAAAGTTGAAGGCTTTCYGTGGGAGTCCGTGGAGAAATCCAAGGAGGTGAAGCCATTCTTTGACCATAGAGCAGAACAAGCACCTCCAGAGCCTCGTTCTGGACCAGATTGGAAGTGAGGGAAAGAAATGATGAGCGCATGTGTTTCCATTCGTCATGATTTCCAGAGAGAAAAGGAACAGGACCCTGGGAAACTAAATACTTAACAGTCCTGATCGTGTAAACACCTGGTTCTTTGGTTGTGCATGAAACTAAACGTTAACATCTTTGGTGAAGTGTGTGACATGTATAAGCCAAATTCAAATGACTTTAGACACAAACTGTGTAATCCTCACAAGCCATCTCTTTCCTGTGCACATGCGTGTGTGTGTGTGTGTGTGTGTGTGTGTGTGTGTGAGTTGTTGATCTCCGTCTCTTTCCATTTTCGGGTTCTCTGTGCACCAGCGTGGCATCGATTCTGTGGCCTTGTACAGTCAGGTTGTGCTCAGCTCATTTATTCCACCATGTCCCTGATTGAGGGAGCATTAATTACCTGTCTATGTGAATTAAGCAACTCATGAGCAGCAAGTTATTGAGGACCGTAAATAAAGTCATAGCTCCAGGAAGTAAATAGCTTCTGTTTAATCATCTGCTTCAGAGGTGCCAATTTTTATATACTACTATAGGTAATGATTTGTTCTAAATTGCTTGTTCTTTTCGGAAAAAAAATTAAGGATGTTTTATGAAAATGACTGTGAAGGTTTCCTGATTAACCAACATACTTTATATTTATCATTAGAAAAAAATATAACGGCTTTGAACGAGGAGCTGGAAAGCTGAGTGCACTTGGCATGGCTAGTTTGTGTATTTCTGCAAGCCAAAAGGTGTATTAGCAGTCAGAACACAGCACTTTACAGAACTGGATTTTTTTTAAGTCTAAGCTTCTGAGGCCAGGACAATATTTAGCACTTTGAAAGTTCCCCTTTTAAAAAAAAATATATATATATAAGTATAATTAAATGGGAAAAATGTACTTGTAAAAACACAAAGTGTGTTTCTTCTGAATGTTTCAAAATGTACTCTAAAATATGGTTTCTATAGATACTATGGTAGATAACTGGATAGTACTTTTTTTCTTCTTTCTGAGGCTGTACAGTCTAATCTTCCTAAATGTTTGGGCTGTTTAATTTCTTTAAAGATAATAAAATATTATCCAGTCGTCCATCATGCTATATCTATAGGCTATACCATATGATATGTTGGGCAATGCTGTATTATAAAACATATGTAAACATATATGTAACCCGTGTTTAACCCAGCATAGTTGTAGCATGTGGTTGTATTAATGAACGTTACAGGACAGCTTTATAATCATTTATAAATCTGTAACATTCAATAAAGAAGCACATGTTGCAAGGATTAATTATGTTCCCTATTCCATGTTATTTAGCTTCCTCGTGAAATGGGCATTTTTGTTCCCGATCCACTTTGTTTTTCATATTCCTTCAGACCACTGTAAAATATTTGTATAAGCTGATGTACTTCCTCTACCAAGTCCTGCAAGCTGTGGTAGGCAAGTTGTGATTTTGTGAAAGATGAACTGGCATGTTATGCAAAAGAGTATACGACAAATGAACTTCAAATAATATTTTAAACTCCAGTTGAATTAGCTGTTTGTTTACATCTGCTGACCCAATGCAGAGGCATTGTACAGTATTTTATAAATATGTTCATTTAGTGACATTATGTCATTTCTAGTTAAAGTGATGCTAGTATGTAGGTGGTTTATATACTTGGCCTAGATATTGCATTTATAACTCACTGTCCTTTAACAATGTGACTTAAATGAAGTAATTCCTCTCCAAACCCAGTCTTAATTTTGTGTCAACAAAATGCATGCACTGCTTTATGCATTTCTTTTGACTTTTTCTAAGGCACTTAACATTTTACTATTGCCTGCTGCGATGCTTAAACCAGTTAGGAACTCACTCAAATTGTTGGGCTTCTTACACTAGGGATTATGTTTCATTTTTTAAATTAAAAACAAGGAATCAARGGGTTTTTCAATTTTTCTTTCTTTTTTTTTTTTTTTGTAAACCTCCGAACAAGTAATATGAAATAAAGTATTAACCACAGGTTGCATGATAGGGAACCCAGAGATGGCAAACCAGCACCACTTGGGGTTACCAAGGTCTCGGTGTTGGTCAGCCATGGTATGAGAGGCATGCTTCAGATTTTTTTTAGGACTGAAAATTGCTTCACCAGAGATGAACATGAAAGGTCAATTTGTGACAGGGCAGAAGTGCATGGGTCACGTGACTGAGTGGTTCTGCACTAGGGTATGTGACTCCCTCCTTATCTTGTGGCTTTCTGCGCTCTGTGGATGAGCCTGGCCTCTGGGTGGGAGGCAGGTGACAGAGCACTGGGTGACTCTGAAGAGCTGACTTTTTTAAAGAAATCACCACTTTATTAGGAGAAGCTCTTTAATACCTGGAAAAGAGAAGAGCCCAGATGCACAGCAAAAAAACTGCTCCTAAATTGAGTGGGGAGAACTCTTAGCCTTCCTTGACCTTAGCTTTCTCTTCTTTTCACCAAATATTTGGTGAAAATAAATATTTGGCTAACTCTCAGACTGGAGTCAGCCAGAAAGGGAGTTGGTTCTGATTTAAGAAAAACAAGATTTTTTTTTCCTTGTCTTTTCTGGGTTTTAATTCATTTCAGAGGGCCTTCGTGTTCTCTTTTCTCTGATAATTTCCTTGCTCCTATCAAGGCAAATAAAAGGAAGATGTTGCAAGTTCTGTGGGTCGTCTAAGAGAGGATTTAGGTGACCAGGTTATCCAGATGCAATAAAAGTGAGGTAAATGTGTGCCTTTCCCTAACTCGCCCAGTCTAACCAGCTACCTTAGGACTGCACATTTGCCCATTTGCACAGTGTATGCTGAAAAGTGAACAAGATATGATATCTAGAAGCTCATTGGCTTTCTGAAGAGCCTCAGTGCCAGCCATGACCCCAGCCTTCCTCAGAGACAGGCAGGCTACTAAGAGCTGTGGGACACGCTGGAGGAAATCAGCCTTGGGCCTGGGGGTACAGCCTTCTTTATCCCYTCTACTTCCTCCTTTCCTCTTAGTCCAACACAGCTCCTTTTTTTATGTGAGAACAACAGGCCATTGATTCTATCACCTCAGTACCTTGTGGACCCCAACAGAGTGAGCCAAAACAGCAAGTATTTGGAAAAAGCCAAACATTCAGGCTTTGGCCCAGGCCTGGTC